GACTTAAATAGTGTTGGCATTAACCATACAGTTGGTTTTTTTTTTCTTTGGTTTTATTTTTGTAGTTTGGAGTTCTTTTTAATCTTGAAAGGCAACTTTCACTTTGACAGTAAGTTCCAATTTGGTGGTTTAGCGAGTGTGCATTCATCCACCAGCCAAGACAGAGCTCACTGGGGTGTGCATGTTGTTGTTGTTTTTTGTTGTTTGGAGTGTTTTGTTTTGTTTTGTTTGTTTGGCTGTGATACCTTAGTATTTTCTGAAAGTAGGGCTGCTTTGGAGCCTGGAACTCTATTTTCATAGAGTTTTCCTTTTTGCTTTTGAATATGGAAAAAACCCCAAGACCCTGAATATCACCACAGCTGTAACTGTTCTCCAGGAATACCTATATTTCAGTCCCTAAATGATGTTACCTAAGAAATATTAGCTGGGAACCTATACAGGTGTATCCTCTTCAGTATACTCCATCATGTGAATCTTTTTGTCCTTTTTCTTCTTTTTGTTTGTTCCTTTGCTTTTCCTCCCTTTTTTCCACTTCCTGGGACTTCAGTTTAAGTTGATGAAGTGCCGTAAATCCCACTTTGTGTTTTAAGACACTAAGCCAGGCAAGTAATTTTAATAAGATAAAGCCAAGCCTGTAACTAAAAGAGAGAAGGAAATAGGAGGAAAAAAAAATAAAAGATGCTTGAGAAGTTCTGATCTTTCCCTCCTGATGCTGGCCTCAGCCATGGAGGAACTTTTAAAGCCCCATAAAGCACTCTCTGAGGTAGAACTCATTTTGTCTTTTATAATTAAAAACCTTTAACTCCTTTTTTTTTTTCCTTACAACAATAATCATCTATTACCTTTGCCTTTCCAAAGTTTATGTGCTGAAGAATAGAGTGAAGGTATTAGGACAAAGAACGTCTATATAACTGGATTGAAAAATCCATCTTTGAAAAAAGTTAATTTTTCTGGATGTTTAAAATTACAAGCAGGTGCTTATCATAAAGGAAGGCAGCAGTATCTTTCTTATGAAAATTAACGAGACTTAGATGGCAGGAGGCATCTTTCATATTTGTACATCCTCTTGGATGAATCTCCTTAACTAAAGGTAGTAGGGAGGGGATTCTCCATGCCCTGGGAGCCTTTCTTGAGGCAGGCATAATTTTTAGCCTTGATTTTAGAAACTGTATTGCAAGAACAGCTTGCCATAACTCCTGTGTGCTCTGTTACATTACAGTTTTATCTGCTGTCATCTATCAGTTAAAAAAACATGGGCCACATCAGCTTATAGTAGGGAGTGGAGGGAGAGGGAAATGGTGATTTGAAACGCAAATTGAAGCCTACCTTTCTACTAGTTTGCATTAACTGAACCAAGCTCTACATTGTAAGCTTCTTCCACAGTGAACTGGGGTGGAGAGAGTTTCCTCTAAAGAGCTATTTAGAAGTGGAGTGTGATCTAGTCATTAAATTGCTGCCTAGAGGAAGCTTTGTCTTCCCCTCTCCAAGCCTGTTGGAGGATTTTCAGAAGATTAACCTCCCCAGGATAAAGTTACACTTTGTGAATATCTCGTGATATATTCCTGATGAGATGCAGTCTTGCTGCTCATGACATCATGACATGATGCTTCAAAGCACTGCAAGGCTCTGCACACCACCCTTGGTTCACGACCCACTGTCTGACTGTGTTTGTGTGACAGCAGATGTGTACAGTAACATGCTGTGTCTGTGTTTCATGAATGTTCGAAATCTGGGTTTAACAATATTTGCTCGGGCACTGAGAAAGTCTGGGAATTTGATCTTGGCATGCACTTGGAGCCAAAAATACAGAGCAGCAAATGGGCATATGAAAGACCTGGCTGAAATTCACCCCTGATATCCCAAGTGTCATTTTGAACATTCTCAGAGATTTTTAGACTCCCACTAGACTCAGTTGTGCCAATGTATCTGAATATAATGAGGTGGACCTGTCAGCAGCAAGTCCCAGTTGGCATATTAATCCATTAGCTTAACAAATGCAATTCTTTAAAATAGTTTTGTCCTTGTATTATAGATTTTTGTGATTTAAACTTTGAATTAACACCTACTGCGGTATCTGTCTTAATAGCTTGTGTCCCATTCACATATCTGTGAGTGTGCTTAGGAATGCAAATAGATTACTGTTACTGGAGGGATATTTTAACTACCATCATTCAGTAAAACATGTTCACTAAGTAGGAAACAATGCCTAATTTCTCAGTGCTCTAGCAAAGTTTCCTGTTATTCCATAAGATAACAAAGATACCCAGAGCATGTGTGTACTCTCACATTTTGTTTGCTCAAGTAACATATTGCTCTTAAGCGGGCCTTCAATGCACAGTAAACTCTTAAAAGCTTGCATTTTTACATTATTCTTAAAATAAAAGCAATCATATATGGTAGTACATGCCAAATTCAGCTTGCTAAACCAACAGTGACTAGTTAATAGCTTCCTGATCCATCACAGCTGCATGTTTCTTGCTTTGCAGGTAAACTATTCTGTCACTCTTGAGACTGAAATATCTTTTTTTTCTTTATCACCTGTGTCCAGATCAGTGTCAGCTGTGTACAAAACTTGTTCGGATGAAGATTTCATTATGAATTTGAAAGGGCTCAGATCCCTTTTAGAGATTGTCTTAAAACAATTCTGATAGGCTTGGGCAACTTTTGATTATGCTTCAGAGCCAGCTGCTGACTGCAGGATGAAATCAAAACTACCTCACAACTCACAGTTTTGTTTGTCTTTAGGCTTGAAACCAGTGCACAGTCAGGAAGGGCTGAACTCTCCACTCCAAGGTTTGCTCACCTCTTTTGGACCTGTAGAATAGTAGAGTGCAAAGAAATGGCCTCTGTTGGTCTTTGCTGCCTCCTCAAAACTTTTGATTTTGCTCTTTTTCCTTTTTTTTTTTACTTTAAGATAACAACAACAAAGACCTCTCAAAAAGCCCCTAGCCCAACACAACTACTAACAACAGTACTGGTAGAGAACCCATTTGTTCATTTGGTTAAATTAAGCCCGTGAACAATGAAAACAAAGGTAATTAAGGTATTGCCTCTCTCATTAACACCTTTGTGTGCCTTCAGCTGCCCTTCTGGGCACCACAGCCTTGCTGGAGAATATGCAGTTCTCCTGTTGACCACAGCAGCGGCCCTTGGTAAATGGCTCAAGTTCTGCAAGGCAGTTCATCAACCTCCTCCTTGAGCAGAGGAAGAATCTTGCGGAGAGACAGGTGACATCAGTTTGTAAGGCCATCCTCTAAGCCTTTCTTCAATTGTGTGGAGTGTAGGATATGCCTGAGAAGTGAAGGGATATATGGATGGGGACATGGTGTTGGGTGGACTCCAGACACAGCTCCAGCATCAGATATTCCACAGTCAAAACCCAAGAGGTTGCCCAAATTGGGATAGAAGGGTCTTTCTTCACCCAAAAGCTGGATAACTACATCATAGAATTTGCACTGTGATAGCTTGGTGATGTTTCATCAGATAAGAATAGAAAATAAAGTCCTCATTTTTCACCTCAGAGTGGAAAAGTGTGAATTCTATCAGGACACATATCAACCAAACATTAACTGAACAGTCTTATTTCTGTGCCTGTCACTACTGCATCATCAGGCATTTTCATTCATTCTGAGTGTTTGTTATTTTAATCTTACAATACCTCTCTGTATAATTCAGTTGAGATATTCCAGTTTGCACTTGCCCTAATGCTTTCCTTCCTCCTCCAGACCTCTCTGAAATCAAATGCTGCAGTCCACGGACATGTTGATAGTTTTGCATGAATTAAGAAAACCGGAAGTGGCTGACAAAGATTAATCTATTATTATTAAACAGACTGTGTATCAAGTTGCTCTTCTGAAAAGAAAATTAAAAGAATGAATTGAATAAAATGTGTTTTAAATCTATGATTTAGAATATATTTTGTTCCTCAATTTACAATACATAATTTTAAGAATCAAGGCTGCTGTCTCGAGGTGGAAATTCTCGTTCTAAATTGTAAGCAGGGCTGCCTCACTGGTATTGCTTAATATGCTGAGAAGAAGTGAAAATGGATGTTTCCAATACTGGGACAAGCGTAAGTCCAAAGCTGGTCATTTAACAGATGGGGGCTAACTTTTATTTAGTTCCTTTTGCCTTAAAAACAAAAATATGAATCATCTTGTAACAAAACACGAAGATACATGACATAAACATACCTGCTGATTATTTTCTTACATACTTCTGATAAAAAGCTAAAATGCTGAAATCTAATTAAGCACAGAAATGCCACCTAATCTTTTTGAAGCAACGCACTGTAGAATGTGTTGTTAGTATACCGTATAGGGCATGTACTCCTTTCATTTGCATGTGCTCCTATTTCACAACCATATTTCCCTTAACACTTCAGCCTTCCCCGTACATTCTGTGTTTGGCTTTGGACTCGCCTGGTCTGTGGTAATAACCCCAGGCAAAGAGCACAAGGGTGGCTGGCTGCCAGCAGCAGGGGCCTGGCGCTGACTAGGCAAGGATTTGCATGGCACATGCCAGCTCAAACACGGACATTTCCTTTTTCTGTTTTCCTGCCTTTAGGGGCCAGCCAACCAAAGATGAAATTTCTCCATTCCTGGCACATCTGGCTTAGGCTCTCAAGGCTCATAATTATCCTCCCGTTCCCAGCTCTCTGCAGGTGCAGGGAAGTGCACGGCAGGTTCTCTGAGAACACTGCTCTACAGTGGATAAGTTAATCTATAAATCTTCAGTAAATGCATGCCATATGATTTAACATACATTTATGGTTTTATAATTTATGCAGAGACAGGGTCTCACAGATAAAATGCCAGTTGGAATAATATTACATTATAAAGTTATGAAACCTAGGGCAAAATGTCCAACTCTTAGTAAATGCAGGGCTTTGTATTGCAATAATAATCTGCATGCCAGCATCTTGCACTAACGTATCATGTATGCCTTTACCATCTATCCCTGTAAAACTCATTCACCTTTTATCCTTTCTCTCAACACAGGCTTTCACTTCTCAGGCACTTACTTCTCTTCATCCACTGCTCCTCCCTCACAAGCTGATCACTTCCTGTCCTCAACTTGCACAGTAACCCCAGGAAAATCTTCCCATGTGTTCCCTAGGACCTGTCGTACTCCACATTGGCTCTTAGACAGGCTCTGACCTGCGAATGTCGCTGGAGCTGTGACCCATTCCTTGTTCAGCTCAGCACAGCTTGCCTAAGTAGATGGTGAGTAATAGCATTCAATGCCTATTTATCTTTCTGTGCCTCTCTCCATATGGTTCCTATATTAGACCTCGAAACAAATTGAAGGAGCTAGTGTGACTAGGAAATTAATTTCATTAAGGTCCACAAAGTTGCTGATAAAAATTCTTGTGTTCTTGTACTGGTTTGAAAGGCTGTGTGAGTCGGTTCAGAATTGAGATGGAAATATGCAGCTCCCTTGATTTTAGTGGGATTAAACCCACCTCTACCATGGTGGTGCAAGCCACTTGAGTATACGTGTGAGTTTCTCAGTTTTCCACTAAAATCATCTCATGACAGGTGTGAGATCTTGCAGCACTAATATCTGTACATATACATTGCACAGCACCTGTAAACATCCAGACACTAAACAGGAGTACATGATCTTAGAAATGGATGTCACTTGCTCCTTTTGGTGGTGGTAGGGGAGATAGATAGTATTTAAACATATGAAACAACCTGATATTAAAATGGAAGTGTTTCAATCATCTTAGATTTAATTATATTCTCTCTGTGCTTCAAGCACTGATTTGTGCTTTTAAGCACTGATTTAACTGATTAAAAATGTCAAGATTTCAGGATTTAGAACAGCATTCTTGAAAGGAGCCTGTAGAGGCTGATGAGTCTCACTGTCAGTGTAAGATACAGCTTTCAGTGAGACTTAAATTCAAAACTCAGAAATATTTTACAGATATTCTTGATTTATTTGTTTCTCAGTGAGACACTTGGGACCAAATCCCCAAGAGGGAGCTACAACATGAGGGAAACGCAAAGCTCAAGAGACAGCAAAGAAAAATGATCTTGCAGCAGCCTAGTAAAGAAGGACTATACCTGGGAGTAAGAAAAAAGGGGAAAGCAAGTCTCAGCTTCTTGTACCTTCTTCAGGGTTGGCTCATGGATTTTACATTTAAAACTCATGGAACAAAAGGCACTATCAACGGGGTTTAATTTCCTTTTCTGACTGCAGACCTCTCTTACACCTCCACATATCCTACCTTAATCACTACTCTGTAGTAAAAGCCATGAGGCCATTCATCCCCTTCCCACACTGACCTGAAATGGGGCAAATTTACAAGAAACAATTAAGGATTTTTGGTTTTGAAAGACAGCATGATTACCTATAAAACACTGACACGAGTACTGTATGCCACCAGAAAAAAAAAAAAAAAAGAAAAAATTACCTTAATCATTGAAGTGTGGCTAGAAGTCTTTTCTAAGGCAAGAAGAAAATAAGAGAGATCTTTCCCCCTTGAGAAGAGGCTCACACAGTCCTGAACCATGTACAGCTATTGAGCAGGTCAAGGAGAGTTTGTAGGGGCATCTTGTTTGTGTAGTTAGCTCTGGTGTCGTGAGTGATGCAGCATACAGCACACAGCACATGATACCTATGGTGGCTTCAAGAGATATAAAAGCTTAGGTCTGAAGCTCTCGTTGACAAAGAGTCTGGCAACCCAAAAAAGTAGGCATAATCATGAAGGAGACACCTGTCCCTGCTCCACTGGTTGCTTTAGCTATTTTAAATATGTTTTTATCTTTTATTCAATATTTATATTATAAATCTTATCTAAACCAGCCCCCAGAACAGAGGCTGTGCTCCAGGTGTGTCTGCCCCTCAGAGAATATTCCTGCCACAAGGCTGCAGAATCATGCTCATTGCTTCCCTCTTTTTACCACAAGTATTTTTTATTTATATATGCAAAGTGAAACACATTCATCAACAAAGTTTGCAAGATTAACAAAATATTCCTCAGCCAGGAATTTAAGGCACTCTATTGAAGAATGAGAAGAATTTGCAACCCAGCACTCCCCATTTTGTGGTGATTTTGGAACCTACTACATGTGCCTACCACATGCCTCTGGGATCAGCTCCTCAGGCAATACAGGTGGAGGAACTGTGCTTGTGGATCCTGCCAGCATGAATTAGACATGGAGAATTCAGCTCTGCTGACACTGTAAGACTCCTAGACATGCCCAAAAGTAAAACATTGGGCACCTGGTTTAACACTGGGAGCAGAAGACTATAGGGATAGCTGAAGAATTTTTGGATGTAGGGTCCTTAAGATGAGCAATGGTTTTCAAAATACCACTAAATATTTACTTGCATCTTCAGATACCTATCTAGCTGCAACAATTTTATTCCTGATCAATTTAATAACCTGTGTTTCTTGCATGTTATTTCAAGACTTCACATTACATTTTTCCACTTTAAAACCAGCTTCCTAATGTGACTCAGAGGGAGACAGTTATTAGTAAGTCATTAATGACACTGTAACTTCGATTGTTTGCATTACATGTCAAGTGAGAATTACTTCAGTGTAATGACTTATTTTTTTTTTGCTGATCATTTGTAGCATCCCTTTACTCTGAGACATTTGGCCATTTTGCTTGGAATACACTAACTAAAACATTTTTCCAGCCTACATTTCTGTTTCTCAGCTATTCAAGCAGAAATGCATTTTGTTCATCTTACTAGGAAAAGATGCTTTAAAATATCCGTCCCATTTCTGGGAGTGCCTTGTTAAGAGTGTGCATACACACTTATAAATCACAAAAACACAAAAAAGGCATAAAACTTAGTATACATACAGAACTATATTAAAATAATAGCTGTTTGCTAACATTTTGTGTAGAGTGAGCTCTGCAACTCAAGACAAAATGGAACTGGCACAAAAGACAGTATGCATGTTAGCAAATACAGCAATTTTTTAGCATCACCTCCTAGGACAGACACAAAACAGGTTATGTTAGAGAGGCAAGCTGAACACCAGCACTGAAATTCCTCTTTGATGCACTTGTGCTTTTCTCGTGTCTTATGTAAAGTATTCTTACGCATCTGACAATAAATAAATAAATAAATAGATAGATAGATAAAAGAAAACATATGAAGAAAATAAATAAAGAGAAAGATCAAGAGAATCTTGGTCTGTAGAGGCCAAGCAGCTGGTTAGTATAGTGAAAATAAAGCCTACGGGAAGTAGGGCCCCATCTCACAAACATTTAGGTATCCACTTAAATTTGTTAAGTGAGCAGTTTGTGAATGTAAAATCAGGAATACTTAAGAGCACCTATATTTTCATTCAAAAAAAAAGTACAGTGGAAGAGTTAACCTTACCCTGGCTATCAGAAAACAGAACACCATTTGAAGCATAAAATAAAGAGGGTCCTATTAGATTTGAAACAAACAGCCAGTGTCCTTATAATTATTGTATTTAAAAGGAGTTGAGTATTTGCCTTCAAAACCAGTACTTCAGGTAGCTTCAAAACTATAACATACAGCATTTCTTCTGTTATTTTCTTTTCCTGAGCCTACCTGCATGAGAAAGACAAAAAGGCATAATTATCTAATGTTAGCAAAAATTAGAAAACCAGATTTCTGGGCCTATCATTCTAGTATTAGTATTTCCAGTTGCCATCTGAAAAATTAAAAAAAAAAAAAAAAGCTTGTGATCATGTCACTATTAATATTTCTTTCCAAAATGACTCTACTAAAAATACTTGTGTTATACCTCCCAAAACAAGCAATACTCAGAACAGCACCTTGGAGAGCCAGCTCACGTGGACAAGGTTTGGTGCATGTCAGTGGGAATGAACCTTTCTCTGCCAAACCCTGAGAGGAGACAGGGTTGTGCTCCAGGCCCTAAAAAGGGAAGTTGAGCTTTTCTGAAGGATTTCTGCATACCTTAGTATACCTCATTTTCTTATAGCTCTACTTGCTCTATAACTTGTTTCTATATGAAATGCAAACATGCCTTGTTCCAGAACAATGTTTTTAAGTTATTTTTTTATATACATAGGCATAAGCACAGGAGATTAATTTTTCTGTAACTAGCATCATGTTCAATGTGGCCCATGCAAATTGTGAATTCTCAGTTGTGGTAAAATATCATCACTCTTTGAAAACTAGTTTTCCTTCATGGGCACCATTGAAAGCATTGTACTTTTAATAGCTGTTAAAATCATTTGTCAATAATGAACATCCTGTGACTACTGTGCAGTTAAAACTAGGTGGAAGTTTGTATTTAAAATAAGGAAGAAATCCCTGAATATATTACCCCAAACTTGTAAGCAGCTCCCTGGGGCCAGGTTGCATTACCTTCACTGGGAATCCACCTAAGCACAATATTCCATACATGTGTACCAACAAAAGATACTTAGACAAAAAGTAATAAACAAAAGCCACAATATATACCCTACAAAAGGGTGCCCTACATTCTTTCCTTCCCCAAATCAGAATTTTACTCTTTCATTATAGCATGACCATTGTAGTAAGCCAAAATTAATGCATTCATTTCTGAATAATGTTTATATTGAAATATAAAGTCTGTACTTCCTTAATGCCTCTAGTGAAAGTATAATAGATTTTCAAAGACTGAAAAGCTCACTTCTATACTTCAGAAAAATCTGAATCACAGCCCTCTCTTTACAATGTGTGAGTACTGCAATTGTTTTCCTAACACAGTAATTGTAAATCTTTCTAAGCACTCGTGAACAAATAAATTTGATGAAGTTATCTGTTATCAAATGGATACTCTCCAATATAGGACTTCATTTTTGTTCATTACATACCTCAGTCATCCTATTATAAAGAAAACCTTGAAAATGCGAATTAAATGAAGCAGATGCAGTGTGGGTGTTCTGAGCATGCCTGCATTCAACCCCAAAATAACTCTATTTACTATTTCCCCTGCTAAAAATGGAATAAAAATTAATCTAATTCATATAGTAAATGTTTCAATGCTACATTCACTATCAAAATCTTTGATCGGTGAGACAACCCATGATAAAATCTTTTACTATGTAATAATCTGGATGCTTGCTGAGTTACATGAAAAATTTATGGTTTTCAAAACTTTAAATTGCATTTCATGTGATATGCTTTGTGAAATGCCACTGAAATCAGGAAAGTAAGCACATTTTTAAGTGCTCCAGTAGATAAACATCTATAAATTTGTCATGCAACCTACTGGTCATCACCTAAAGTTCTGAGAATTTACATGACCTAAACAGAGGTGGTGTGAATTATTCATTAATGTTTGTAAAATAATTTGAGATACAGAGAAAAGTGTCAATAAAGTCCAGGACATTACCATCACGTAGGGGTTTTAATCACAGTGTATTTCACAATTAGGCAAACTTTATTCAGTGCACTAACATTCAGTGGAATTATAAAAATTGATAAAGAATTATCCTTACAAGTTGTCCAAGATCGTAAGAACGTGAGAAAAGTTTAATTACAAGAAAGGAGAAAAATTATAAAACTACATGAATAATCACCCGAAGTACAGACCAAGAGTGATACAGGTGAAACTGGATGAGCAAGTTCTAGGGACATCCTCTGTTTTTCCTTCCCCCATGGCACTCTTTGGTATGACATAGTGTGGAATTTATTTGGTTTTCTCTATGGCTCCTTTACCCCCAGAAAAGCCTCCTCTCACTTCAGCTTAATCACAGCATTTCTGCACGATCTGAGACCTTCATTTTATTGTACTACTTTTGGGAGGACAGGGCACGTAACCTCTTATGGAATACAGCCCTATACATGTTTATTGTGGTTTTCCAGACCAGCTGTGGCCCTCTTACTGCAACCGCAAACCAGCAGTGGTATGAGAAAAGACCACAGGAAAGTGTGGACAAACCAAACAAATGGTGATTGTTTGATAGCTGGGTTCTGTATGAGCGGTTCCATTATGAAATCTTTTATCCTTTCCTTAACAGTCAGGGGAGCCATTGTTTTTCCCCATTTAGATGGAGAATTGTATGTTCTGCATGGATGCATTATGAAAAGTCTCTTGAGTGGATTAGATAAGAGTAAAACCTGCTGGACACAGTAATGAATAAAAGGCTTTTCATCTTCTCCAGTAATTCACTGTTTAACTTTGGAGAAAAGACAGGTTGCTTTACTGAGAAATGACAGCAGAGCTGGTGACTACTAAGGATAAGGAGAGACAATTACATGTTGGGGAACAGTCAACTGCCCCAAAACCTCCTTACATGTCCCACTGTTATCTAGCACAAACTGTTTTTTTTTCCCCCAGGTAAATCTATTTTGATATTCTTATTTAGTGAGATGTTCACCTTTATTTTCTTCCAGACCTTTCTCTGATGGCAACCATTAAACTTCCCAGTTTTGTCTCCTTTGAATTCCCTAAGAAATCTCTACCATTAACATGTAAGGTTGCTCTTCAGATGGAAAACAGGGTGGTATTGCTAGGTTTTCACTACAGCGCGATCTTGTGCAAGTAGTAGTTTCTTTTGTGAATGGCTGATATTGTTTCAGCACAGTTATATAACAACCTTACTATATGTAATGGTTCCCATGTCTGGGGGGGGCGTATTATAGAATTCTGTTAATCAAAAAGACCCTGATTCTGCAAGTGCTGAAAAGCTCACACCCCCAGAACTTCAATGAAGCCTTGAGCTATTCGCTATTTCGAGTCTGCCTTCCCAGAATTTCTCTTCTGTTTACTAGAGAAGGAAGACAGCATTTCAGATTACTTTAACTGTTTGTTCAACATACTGTTTAAGAGGTACCTATCATATCTAGACAGCCCAGCCTGGTGGAGTCGTATCCTAAAGAATGAGCTAACATCAATACCTACCCCCCCTTTCTTTTTGTGTCTCTCTGCATAAAAAGCCTCCTCAATGGTCAACATTGCTCACTTGTGAAACTTACTTTCTGTTTGGCCCATCACCAACCACATTCTGACACCTGGCATTGATTTTAATGGAGATGCTGAAATTACATGACTGATGCCTTTTTGTTAAAGATCTTCAGAACTTAAATGCTTAAAACATACCTACATAATCAGTAGATGAATAAGAGGAATTATGTTGCTTAATTCAGAAATGTGAAGTAATTTTATCATCTCCCACATGGTAGAGAGCACAGCAAAGATCAGCTTCCCATGTACTGCTCAGTATAAAAACTCAGTGCTCTGAAGAAGGAACTGGTAAGAGTCTGAGTCGTGTTTCTAGGAAATCTAGAGATTATCAAATTTGTACTAGATGTTGAGGTTGCTTTTGTGAGCCTTGACTTTCATTGTATTATCTAAAAGCTCCCTGATATGAGAATCAAGGTACCAGGAAAAACAAACCAAAGTTTGACTTTCTTCTGCAAACTTCAGTGCAGAAAGTAGCAGGTGTCTGGCGGAGGTCTAGTCCATTTCATGTGAGACTGGAAGGATGCCTTCTATGGCATAGAGTTGCCAGCTTCAGGCAAGCTCAGCCACTGGTTACTTGAGCCATGATCCTCAGTGAAGCCTAACATCTATAAACCCCAGTCTGCCAGCTGGGCTCATGGTAACCTCGGAGATCCAGGCAGGCAGAGTTCAGAAATATGTTTCAATCATTTAATTTGTTGGAAACACTGTCAAGCCCCCCTTCCCTCCTATTAGGATCAGCCCATTATTCTAACAGCTATTGCAAATTCAATTTTTTTTTTCTAGAATCTGTTCAACAACAAAGAAAAAATCCTGCTGCTTTTAATCTAAAGTGAATAATTCATGTTTTATCTGAAGGAACTGAAAGAATATAGACCACTGTCTGCTTTGATCTACGTAAGCAACACATATTCAAAGAGGGTGTGCAGCAAAAAATAAAGGTAGGGAGTATTTATTCCTCTTGTTCTGCTTCTTTTTACAACTGTATTTAAAGTATCAATGTTGCTGATATCGGTAGATCTAATTGTAAAGTAACAAAGTGGAGATAAATCAAGATGTGAGTGTTACTTGGTAGGAAGGATTAGGTCAAAGGTCTGATCCATCTGAACTGCAACTGTTGCACATGTCGTCATCCAGTATTGCAATATCCATTTATTTGCACTCTGTTTTGATGCATCTAGACTTAAAAATGGATTCAAGAGGTGCATCTTCTTTATAAAAAAGCTGAAAAGGAGTTGGGAGTCATATGATTATTACTATGACGGCCCTGATTCTGCCTCTGGGATGTTGATGTTTGGGGGAGATGGAACCCAGCTATGTTTTTCTAGATGCGTATGAAAACCTGCTGATTGCTGTCTCACCAGAACAAACTGTAAACCTTTCCAGCTGTTCTTAATCTGGACCCTTAACCTTTAAAAAACCCCAAAGGCTTTCCATTCCTCAGAGCCAAACTGCGAACAATATCTAGGTTGTTTTCAAACCAAGCTTCAAACATAAAAATGACTAATAAATCCATATTCCATAATAGGCTGGAAAACTATTACTGAAGAACATACTCATTTTTTATGACCCATTTCTAGTAAAAAAACCCCAAATGCTTCACTAATGCTACCATCTCAGATACTCAGATCTGGATGACAGGCATAATATCCAGACAGCTACACCAATAAATACATAAATGCTATAAATCTGTCTCAAATTAGTGATTTGTGGGTGTGGGGGGGGGGGGAGGGAGAAGGCTGGGAAATTCTGACTTCTAACCTGTCTGCTACCTGACTCTTAATGCTCTGTAACTTCACAGCTGGCAATTGTATTTTTCTGTGGTTTGTATTATTATGTGCTAAATGTATTACTCCATGCCCTTCGGTGGGATTTGGGGGTTTAAGAGTAAGGCCCTGAGCTTGCACATGGGCTTTTTTAGTCTGCACCTGATTCCACTCACGCAAAGAGCAAGTTTCCAGCAGCCCAGAGACCGGGGGCTTCCCGCCGCACAGTGCAGCTCCCCGGCAGCGGAGTCTTCCCCCTGGCGAGAAGGCGAGGCAGGTTTAGAGGAAGGAAACAGTTTTGGGGGTCTGGATGGAGCCACAGCCTACAAATCCATAATGCTTCAGAAGACCGTAGCCCGTGGCTTTGGGATTCCAGATCGGGCTTCCCGTTAAAACATCAGAAATAGTAATAATCATTCCCAAGCATCCATCTCTATGACTTTTTTACAACCTCATAATTGCCCCCTCCCTGACAGGCGGATTTATGCCTCGGCCTCCAACGCCCTGCGGCAGGGAGCTCCGCCGCCCCGGTGGCACCGCCGGGTCTTGCGGGAGGGACGGGGCAGCCCTCCCGCTGCGGAGCCTCCTCCGCCGGTGCAAAACTTCCCTAGGAGCCGGTCCGGCTGTTTGGAAGTGGCAGCCCCCCGCCTCCTCGTTGCCTCAAACACTCCTCCCGATAACCTCCCCCCCTGCTCTTTTTCGGGTTGTTGCTCTGTCAATGTTTGGGTTTGCTTCTGGGCTTTCGGCAGCCTCCTCTCCCGGCTGGGGGGAGCTCTCATCACCCGATTTTCCCGTGCAAAACTCAAGGACTGTCCCGGGAGTGTTCAGGAGGGAAGCGCTTTCCTTCTCTCTCTTCCTTCTTTGCTCTTCCTCTTTTCCTAAGCAGCCTCCCTCCACGTCCCTCCCGCGGATCTCTCTCTCTCGCCCTCCCGGCAGGACTTCTCAACTTCTGCCCTCGGCTCCGCTCGCTTTTTCTTAGAGATTTATTTTCCTGGGGTATTTTTTGGGGGGAATCATTCCTTCGTCCCTGTGGTCCGTAACGACCGAGAGGCTCCTTCCCTGCGACCACGGGGGGCGGCCGGGACCCTCCGGCTGTCAGCGCCGCTACCTCCTCCCCCGGCTCTGCCGGGAGCGCCGGTCAGGGAAATGATGGCCTAGAAATTAAGCAGCACTTCCGAGGTAGTACAGCTACCTTTCTCCCAGTTCCCCTTTTTTACACTGTGTAGAATTCCTCCCTACTTTGAAAGAACACAGTGATTAACGTACAGCCGTCCAAGGTGGTCGCGGAGGAGGCGACGCGCTTCCCCAGCCTTTCATGCGCTGAGCTGGGCTCTGGGAAGGAGGCGAGCGGGGGGCGAGCTCCGCAGGAAATGCCGGTGCTGCGGCGGGGAGTGCCCCCGGCCAGTAGCCCCCCCGCCCTCCCGACGCTGACCGCCGGCCGGGGGGTCTCTCCCGGCCCCTGCCCGCCTGGCAGTAAGCCCCGAGGCGGGCGCCCACCCTACCGGGGGTGCGCGGGAGGCCCGTCGGGGCCATGGCCGGCGACGAGGCGCGCAGCTCGGACTGCAGCGGGCGCTGCTCGCCAACGGGGCGGCAGGCCGGCACCCCGCGAGGCGGCGGCGGGGCGGTGGAGCGAGGAGGGGGGGCTGCCGGGGCTGCGCTGCTGCTGCCGCCGCCGCCGCCGCCAAGGGAGACCTGGCGCCGCCGGAAACTTTCCTCGGCGCTGTGCGCCGGCTCCCTCGCCGTGCTGCTGGCCCTGGTGGTGAGGCTGGTGCGGGGGGAACGCGGCCGGGAGCTGGCGGCGGAGGGCGGCGCGGGGCCGCGGGGCTGGGTGCCCCCCGGCGCCGTGCCCCTGGGCCTGGCCGGCGCCTTCTTCGGCGCGGGCCGGTACCTAGTGCGGGGCGGCGTGCGGGCGCGGACGGCGGCGCTGCTGCTGGTCGCCTGCTGTGGGGGGGAAGCGGTGGCGCAGACGGCGCTGGCGGCGGGGGAGGATCACTTGCTCTCCCTCGCCGCCACGGGGGTGGTGCTGAGCTGCCTGGCCGCTGTGACATGGCTGGTGCTGAAGCTGAGGCAGGGCGTCCTCATGCTCGCCGTGACTAGCGCGGCCAGGACCACGTCCCTCGTCGCCTTGGAGAGGGTCCCGGCGTCCTGGCGGCCCTACCTTGCCTACCTGCTGGGGCTGCTGGGCATCCTTCTAGCCGGCTACGCTGACCGGCTCTGGCCCCCGCGACGGGCCGCCCCGCTGGCGGAGCCTCCCGCCGACCCCCCGGTCGCGGACGAAGCCCCAGTGCTCAGGAGGAGGCGGCGGTCCAGTTCCATGATCTCCCCCGAGATGTCGGGCGGCGGCGGCAGCAGCAAGACCCACCGGCGGACATCGCTGCCCTGCATCCCCCGGGAGCAGGTAGGGCAGGAGCCAGGGGGACGGGACGGGTCCAAACTTTGCTGGAGGCGGGGTGGCTGAGGGGGGTCCCGGCGGCGGCGCCTGGAGCTCTATCCTCCCGCCGCTCCCCGCTGGAAGGGCCGAGCACGGTGCGGGCTCTACCCGGCGCCCCGCGGCGTGGAGAACCCTGGGCTGCCTCCCCGGGCCGGGCCGGGCCGGGGCTGGGGTCATGGGGGGAGCGGGGCTCTCCGGCCCCAGCCTGACTCGCCCCGGCTGCGGGCGATGGGGAAAGGAGCTCGGGGTTTTCTTGTCTTTTGCAGCCATCACCGGCGCTTGCTTCTCTTAAGCCTGGCAGAGGGTTGAGGCAAATGGTACCCTCTGCGTTCTCGGAGATGGTGGGAGCCTGCCCTCGGCACAGCCCTCAGGTGTTCAGCATGACTTACGAACCTTGCTTTTCCAAACCTTTATTTTCTCAGAGAGGTAGCTTAGCCCTGTTAAACTTTCTTTAAGCTTTAAAGGGGGATGTGCGTGTGTGAGCTGAGCAGCCTGTCCTCCGTGGAAGAGGTCCCTTATCAGGGTGAGATGGCATGTCATCTGAGGCTGTCCCGCACAGCACTGGTCTCATCTTTGCACTTTGCCTCCCTAGGGCTGTTCCCTGCGCCTGTGATCAATAACAGGTCCCGCTCCGCTGCGGTTGTTGGAACTGGTACGAGGCACATGCTATTTCTTTCAGCTTTGTTTCCTTTAAGAGTTAGTGATTTGAATGGATCAGTGAGAACTTACTCTGTTAGCAGCAATGCATTCTCTTAAATGCACACCTCAAAATAAAAAAAAAAAAAAGGAAAAAGAAAGAAACACACGCTATTATCTCAACTCCACAGCTCTGTAGAGTCCTGTCATAGACACGAGGTCAGCTTAGTTCTGCACTCAAAGCTTTTTCTTGTGTTTTAACTGAGGTTTAAGATTGCCACACAGGATCGTTTCGTGGGTTGAGTGTAACTGAGCATATTGAAAGTCAGTGCAACCCTTGCTGAGCAGTGGAAAGGGAAACCTAAGGGAAAATAAATGGCAAATGGTGTTAAGCTTTCTTTTTCAATTAGTATTGAAAATTACTCTGTGCACTGTGGTCAGCTGAAGAGTGTTGCCGTACACCAAAGATTTTCTTTCAGGTTGCTTGCTGGATAAGCAGCTAAGTATTTTCAAAGTGATGGCATCTAACCATATGGTGTGGGAGGCTAGTTTGTTTCTGGAAATGGTTTGATTACATCCCTTTGTGGTTGGTTGTGACATTTTCTAGAAGAGGGCCTGACAACCTTCTATACTTGAGGCTTATTTTAAAATAACTGTACTTATTTATTTAACATTTTTGTTTAGGTAAAATAAATATTTACCACAGTGTCCAGGCAAATACAGTGTGAAAAAGTAGAAAGCTGACTCAGTTCTGACTTTAATAGGAGCAGAGAAAAAGGTGTAAGGATAATTTGTAAATACAGTATCTAAGGCAAGGTATTAAAATTGTTTATACTTCCTTGATGACACTAGGTATTGCTGGTGATTTCTTATAGTAATCATTTGTAAGGTGTTAAGCGTATTTCCATTCACTCTCACACTTCAAATAAAAGCAGCTTTTTTATTAACATTTCTAAATGTAATCATTCAGAGACAGTGCTCACTGGTTTGTGATCATGTCCTTTTCTTTTGGAGGGGATTCAGATCACCTGTATGATGATTACCGAAGTGCTAAACTGGTGATGGATAACAAGGCAGATTTCCCCCCCCCCCCAGTGGTACATTACTTTGGGACAGTGGTCAGCTTTGCCCCGGGCGATACCCATTTCCAAGATGCAAGCTGCACTGGAAGGAGCTGGCGACAGTTCAGCTTACCCGCTGCAGGATTTTGGCAAATTTCTCTTTCTTTTGTTCTCACTCACTATTAATCAATATCAGGGTCTGGTATTGCTTGCGTCACTGTGTGATTAGAAAGGGATGACTACTTTCGAGTTTGGGGAGACTTTTTGTCTTTATTTTTTTAAGCACAATGTGGCTGTGTGTATATGACCTTTCCTCCCTAAAAGCAGTCCTCTAAAACAAATGTTTGATACAAAAATGGAAAAAGCTGAAACAAAGCTCTGTAGGGACCCTGAAAAAATGCTGAGAGAAGTAGGACTCTCCTAGAGCAAAGTTTTTGTTTATAGCAAAAATCGGCTCCTCATAGACTTAAAGAAACCATAGGTAAATGTTTCTCTTTTGGGCAGTTTTTAAATATAACATGTTAAAAATAGAGATGAGGGCTTTATAAACAAAACTAGGCCTTCCCTCCTGACGTTTTTTAAGAAAACATGCTCTGAATGTTTCTGATCCAAAAGATAGCTTGTTAATACATCTGGCTACTTTATTGCTTTGAAATACGCGTTTTCATTTGGTGAGTAACAGTAGGTGAAGTTTTGGAGATATTTCCCATTGACTGTTGTGTAATCTTTCCTATTGCTGACCATTTCATCGAGCTTTTCTTTTTCCGGAATACGTTTCCCTCCTTATTATTAATATGAGAGTCTACAGAAGTCGGAATTTCTGAATTTATTTAGTCACACACATCTCAATTATAATCTGACTTTTTCCCTGCTAGAATACAGAACTGAATCCATGTGGCTTTGTACCATAAAGGAGAGTACCGGGATTTGCAAACTAACATCACGCACAAAGGTATTAACATATTTAAAACTGAAAGTATACTTCTGTTTAAGCTGCTGGTAGAAGTAGCTGGAAATGTTTATGGCATGAATTACTCCTTCGTAGAAATGTCTAATCTTAGTTGCTTATAAGTTCCAAAATAATTTAAAAAGTAAACCTGTTTCGTTAAAAAAGCCACCATCCAAATTAAAAACACACCAAGATTTAATCTGCTTTTGTTGCTAAAAGTGTTCTTAAGTAGGTTTTTACTTAATTCTATTTTTTGTAGTTGATTTTTATATCTATTCTCTCTCTTTTTCAACTTTGGCAAATTATTAAGGCTTCCAGTTTGGTGTGTGTGTAGATGTCATTGAGAAATGTGAGCTTTGCAACAGCCTCCTCCTGCTCCCAGCTGAGTGTTGTCTCCCCGTGATTTCATTAATGCTGGCTGAGGATGCTCAGCTCCTTGAGGGCTCACTCACCCAGATCTGAAAGAGGCTGCAGAGAGAAATTGTGAATGGATGGGTAACACAGTGAATGAATGAACAAATGGTTTGGTTTTGGTTTTGTTTGTTTGTTTGTTTGTTTGTTTTTCTTTGACAAATGCACAAGTACTGCCAGCATAATGGCTTTTGGAGTTTCTTCATCACCTTTTTGCAAACATAATAGTTTTCCCTAAAAGTGTGGAGAGGATGTTGGGAGGGCAGGGCAGAAATGTGCTCTGTGGTGTTTCCCATTAAAATATTGTATGTTCTGGAGCCTGCGTCTCTGATCTGTGTGTGTTAATCCTAACAAGCAACAGTCCAAAGGGATGATTTTGCCTTGGTGGGTAAAATACTCCAGAGGGTATAATAGCTGGACAATTCTAAACCATGCCAAAGGCTCCCAGTTTTGCTTTAAAGCCTTGCTTGTTTGTTTTGTTTGGGGAAATGGGAAGCTTGCAGCTAACTTGGATTTATTACAAATGTATGTTAACTGAACAAGAGCAGCTGCTGAAAGCAGTTCAATCTGCTTTGACTTCTCAGATCTTTTTCCTTAGTCTGAACTCTGTCACAGGTATAGCATCCATCAGGGTTTAAAGTACTTCCTAGTCCCCAAACCAGTGGGTGACACAAGCCCATTTGAGAAGGCAGTAGTGAGGTGCTGAGTCTTGCCCTGCTAAAAAGCCCCGATCCACGCAGGGGGTAGCACCAGGATTGAGGCATTTCTCCTGCAGCTCTGATGTCTTCAACCCCAGGCCAGCAGCTTTCATGAGCAAACCTGTGTCTGTGTCCTGTGGCTCCAGGGGCAGAGACCTTTTCTAAACATTTTCCTTCCTTCTTACTCTGCTTTTCTCCCCTTCTGAGTGGCTGGACAAGCAGAAAGCTGTTTGCCTTACTGAGGGACATCTGAGGGTCTGTCACTTACTTTTCATTGGTTTGAGGCTTGGTAGCTGTTGTGTGCTGCTGCATCTTTCCCTGCCTGTTTCTGCTTTAGAAAAGTTACTTTTCCAGATAAGTAACTATGGTGCCAGACTCCTCTGACTTCCTGTAGCAGCAGCAGAAGGTTTTTTGCTCAATTTGACCATTTTTTCATGGTTTTCTGGATGGTGACTCTGCCTGTTCCCAGTCTATAGCCTGGGAAAGTTGTGAGCCAGGACTGTCGTTATCGCTGGCTGTCTGCAGAGTTGAGAAGACAATACTGTAACAGTTCACATGGTCAAAGATATCTCTTCAGCGATAAGATCTAAGAAATGGAGGAGAAAAAAGAAATGTATTTGTTGTTGGGCTTGGTGTTAGGGTTTTTTTTTTTTGGTGGGATTTTTTTTTTTTTTTCTAAGGGAAAATTAAGGCTTTATCTATTCTTCTCATTGTTTGACAGTGAGAACTTTGTAACTGGCAGGAACACATTGCTTCCCTCCCTTTCCCCTGTTCTTTATGTTTCTGCCCTAAAGAAATGACAGATGCACCCTTACATTATAACCAGTTTTTAATAGTATGTATCCTATCCTCTGGCCTGAAAACAGGAGAGATCAGAGTGTGGCATACAGAGATTTCAAATTCTGGCCAGGAGAAGGCAGATTAAATCTAGATATTGTACTTCATGTATGTCAAAGTTATGTCTTCTGTTAGACACCTGGTTTTATATGCCATATAACTCCTTTTGCTAATAAGCTTTATTGAGCTGTAATTGCTCTGATAAGATTTACTGGCATTACCATTTAGGTCACTGGAAACCAAGCAATATGGAGGAGTTATGTCATTTGGTGACTTGCTGAAACACAACTGTGTAAAATATTTAAGTAAGGCTCCAGGAAAAATCACCCAGGGATTCCAGACATAATACTTTATTTTCTTTTGCATGGCTTCATT